AGCGCAGGCGCCCTATAGCAAACCCCTCTAAAAAAAAAAAAAAAGTTTTTATTAACTAAGCTCAAAAAAAAAAAAAGTTTTTATTAACTAAGCTCCCCACTGCTTATAGTATCTTAGGGCAAATAAAGCACACGTGAAGGTTTTGCCTATCTGAAGGGTGCTGGTTTGCAACCTCTGCTTTAATTGTTCTAGGTTTTTAATTCTGAGAAAAACTGTATTCTTAGTTTCTGGACCATATTACTTACACTCCCAGCAAAACTGCTCTCACTGCAGGATGTTCAGATCTTAAAGAGTCACCGTTCATGGGGCCGGAAGGTGGTGTGGTGGTTCAAGGCAATGGAGTCCCGCATGGCTGACCACAGTCCCAGACCTGGCAGCTTGCTTTCTCGTTTTCCCCCTCTTTCTCTCTCTGTCTGTGTTTAGTCAAATTTCTTTCTCGTTTTCCCCCTCTTTCTCTCTCTGTGTTTAGTCAAATTCAAAAATAATAACATTCTTAAATAAATAAGTAATTTATGGAATTAAATAAATAAGTAATTCTTTTTTAAAGAGTCACCATTCACTTAATAATTTGTTCAATCTCAGTTTTTTTTTTTTTTTTGAGAGATTTTCGCTATAGGGTGCGTGCGCTCGCCAGACAGACAGAGAGAGACATAGAGACAGAAAGTGAGAAATCACCCCCCAGGGGGGATGATCACACCGCAATCCCTTCTCCTCCATTCTCCTCTCGGGATCTTGGGCATGCACACACACGCACCTGGCATGAGTTTTAAGCCACCGGGTCCGGGACGTGAACCGTGGTCGGCTACGTGGGAGTCCAGCGACATAGCCATTACGCTAACTGCTGGTTCCCTCAATCTCAGTTTTTAAACATTCAGTATGTATCAAGGGCCTACGACACGACTGGCATGAACCTAGGTGTTGGGGAGGTTGAGAGACTACATGGTGTGTGTGTATGTTCAGGAGGTGGGATATATGCCGTTTGGTGCTAGGAGTTGTCAAGTAAAGCCAGGAGTGGAGTGAGATGAAGCTGGGAGCAGACAGGAGCTACGTTATTTAAGAATTTTATGAAAAATAAAATTTTATGAAAAATAACCTTACGAACTAGACTCCATTTATTGTATGGATATGGTTGTGAATATTGTATGACGAGTACCTATCACAGGGTCTGGTCATGCTGTGATCCCCTTCTTCCAGTTCTCTACCCCATTGGAACTTGGGCACTCGTGTGTGTGCCTGATATGTTTTCGGCTGTTCAGGCTCGGAATTTGAACTGCAGTCACCATGCGGTATCTGGCCTCTCTCTCACTCACTTTTTTTTTTTTTTTTTTAAGTTTCTGTAGGGTGTGGACACTTGCTGGAGAGAGACAGAGAAAGAGTAAAAGTGAGAAAGCATCCCCCAGAAGAGAGGACCATGCAGTAATCCCCTCTCCTTCACACTTCTTTCAGGGTTTTAGGACACGCACATGTGCCTGGCATGTTTTTCAAGGCTCCGGGCCCAGGATTCGAACCTCACAGTTGGCCATGTGGGATCAGCCACCTTAACCACCACGCCACTGACTGGTTCCAGGATCCAGCTTCTCTTGAACAGCAATGTTACCACTGTGCCATGAAGCCAGCCCAAGTCTACGTTGTTTATCGGAGACTTTTAAAGCCACTTACTCGTTTTGTGAGGGTGACACGCTCAATGAAAATGATCTTTCATCCAAAAATGTACTCAACTAAAAACATATACGCTATGGAATGTTCAAATACATTGAAAGTGAGTGCATAAATGAAGGTGTAACTGTAGCCCCTCTGTGTTGTAGAAATTTCTTTCTTCCCTAAAGTACCCTGTGTACTCTACATGGCATTCACCCCTTCATTCTCTGTCCAAACGAGGGTAGGAGTGAGGTGTGCCAAAGGTGCAGCTGTGCTTGAATGTTCATGCAGCGTCACTGATTTCTCACACACAGGGTTGAACTGTTTTCTTTGTATTTGTGTGAGTTGGCTTGACTACCCCCCATAGGCACTTTTACCTCAGTTTCACTTATCTAAAGCTATGCTGTCATGTCTGACACCTTTTCCTTAGTGTAATTTATTTAATCATTGTAATTTTCATAGTACTCTTTCACAGAAGTAAAGGCATTATGGCTTCAGGCCAGATAAATAATTGTCATCCTTGGATAGATTCCACTTTTTCTCCTAAAGGTGGAAAGTAGAACCTTGTTGGATTTACACAACACCATAGTCTCGTTAGTTACAAGTTTAAAAATATATAAATGAAAACCATCTATCAGAGAACATAGAATCATTTTTAAAAAGCTTCAGTATAAAGGGATGCCTTTATTTTCATTCATTCTTGAAAATGAGATTTTGTAGCAGCACTGGGCTAGAATTTCCCCAAGGTCGTGTCCTCCAGAACCTGTGAATATGTGACCCGATTTGCAAATAGGGTCCTTGCAGAAGTAATTAAGACAGGTCATCCTGGATTAGATAGGCCCTAGTCTAATAACTGGTGTCCTTATAAAAAGAGGGAGATTTGGAAAAAGGGAGACACAGAACACCCTGTGAAGATGGAGGTGGAGAAAGGGGTGATGTACCCACAGACCAAAGGATGCCAAGGATTGCTGGCAGCCCCAAAGGCTAGTAGAGAGATGTGGAACAGATTCTCCCTCATAGCCTCCAAAAAGAAACCAGCCCTGCCAATATCCTGCTTTTGGACTGGGAAGAATAAGTTTGTTGTTTTAAGCCTGGACCCAATGTGATACTTTGTTAAAACAGTCCTGGGAATCTAATATAGTAACCAAGTATAATTTTCCTTTTCAGATATCAGTGTGAGCCATTGGGTGTGGCTACTTATATAAATGTGTTTGGAAAGATGGATGTTCTGTCTCCTATATTATAGTAATAGTCATGAGTTTTGGGAGCACTCTAAATATGTTAGTCACCATCATTTTATTTAAATTCTTATATGAATGCTGTATGATATGGACTGTAATTCCTAAGTGTAAAGTGAAGACACTGAGGCTCTGAAAGGATAGCCTTCATCCAGTCTGCTCCTTGATGTACCTGACTAAAAAATGTGTTCTTTTATTTATTTTTTAAAGAGGTTTTCACCTTAAGGTGTATGTGCTCACCGGAGGGAGAGAGGCAGAGACAGTGAGAGGAACAGTGAGAGATGACCCCCCCCCCCGGATGGCCCGTACCACAATCCCTTCTCCTTCATTCTCCTCCCAGGATCTTGGACATGCGCACACATGTGCCTGGCATAATTTTCACACCACTGGGTTTAGGACTCAAACCGCCATTGTGGGAGTCCGGCAGCATACCTGCTACACCATCTGCTGGCCCAAAGCTTGTGTTCTCTTTTCTCTATCACTGCACACATTTACGGAGATCAGCTTCTGGCAGTGACAGCAGCTGGTATTTATAGTTTTTCTTCTTCATAATTTACCTTGGTAAAATCTGGGAAAACAAAGAAGTGATTGCTACTTAAATGTGCAAACTTTCTCCAAAGCTCTGAGTTCCATATAATTTTGGTATTTGCCTGTTTTTCTTATTTTCAGCCAGAGACTAGAATCTAGAACCAAGCCATGCCATTCTATTCCTCTGGGATTGTTGAATAGCTGGAACTAGGAAGTAACCAGAAATTTCTCATGGAAGTTCCAGGGACTTTAGAGTTATGTGTAGAGAATCACATGACTAGAATGGCCATCCCTGTCTATTAATAGCTTCAAATAAACCATTCAAAACAAATAGTCACTAGATGATTTTTAGTTAAGAGAAAATACAGTAACTGCCAAAGAAGACTAGTGTTATTGGCATCATCTTACTCCACTTATGATGGCTGGTCAGAGATAAAATCAAACCTTTCATTTATGGTTAGTAGAAGAGAATGGTGGGAAGAGTGACACAGTCTTAAACATGAGGGTCTTTTTCTTATGTTTGCTTATAGCTATTTCAGGGTATTTACAGTTTTCAGAATAAATATTGAACTACTGCAGGAACCAAAAGTATATGCGTGCACTTCTCCATCAAACCCTGTCTAAATAGTGTTTAACAGTGTAGCTCATCTAACACTGAGCACATGACATGTGGCAGGCACTGTTAGATGGTGAGAATATCATGAATAAAAATGAGATTATCTTCTTTTAGCAATATTTAAATATACCTATATAAATAGGTAGTGAAAAGGGATAGCATTGATTTGGGAAAGATAGAATTAAAAATGACTGGCAAGTATGTTATTCACATAGCTTTTAAAAAGATGGACAGAAGGCCAGATCTGGGACCTGGTGGTTAAGGTGGCTGAGTCCCACATGGCTGATGGTGGGATTCAAATCTCAGCCCCAGTGACTTGAAAATATACTGGATGCATATGCATGTGTGCACAAACTTCTGAAAGGAGGGCGAGACGGAGAAGGGATTGCAATATGACCGTGCACTGTTGGAGGGTGCTTTCCACCTCAC